GTCTACCTTAAAGGTATATATAGAATGTAATTTAATATAACTTTTCAAAAGCCTTTGCTATTTATGCAAATCACTATATTGCAACCTATCATGCAGTTGATGAGCTTCGCGGTTAGCTCCATCTCCAACGATGGCTCATTACAGAACAGTCTCTTTTTTTTTTTCCGATTATTTTTTGTCTCTATTTTTCAGGCATTGCATTCTCATTTGCAGCCTTGCCCTTGTAGAGTACAGATTTCTAGATAAATCACTATCTCTACCATTTAGGAAGCAATTTCTTGATATTGAGTTAGTGAGAAGGGCTCTTAACACTCACCAGGGGTTCTGGGCTGTATAAAAACTGTGTTGTTTTTATCCTGTCCCCTGCCTAGCATGGGCTTGAGCAAGAGAAAAATCTTAAGAAATGGAAGTCCATAACAACCAGTTTCATTTACCTGGTCTGATTTTTATTATCTGCTATTATTAAAAAACAGACAGTCTTTTGTGTCTTAACTGAATTGAAGCATAATTTATTTCATATTTTCTTTTGCGTGAAAGGCTTCATCTGCTATTCAAAATCTTGATAGCGCCCTTTTGTTGTCCTTCAGTTACTGATTTACACATTCAATTATAATTCAGTTTTAAAGTATTTTTAATATTGAAATAAATAAAGCTCATCACTTTCTGATAGCTGTGTGTGACACAAAGGAGCAGTGAATTCTGCTTAGATGGTACCCACAGTAATGAGGTGTTTTCTTCTCTTCCAATCTTTGAAACTACTCGTATAGGTGATAAGAAGTAGTCATCACTTATTCTGTTTCACTACTTCCTTTGCTGCTGCTTTTCTTGTTAAATGTAGAATATACTTTCAAAAGGTGAGACTAGGAGTTACAATCCATGAATTTTTGAATCAGTGAAATGTTTTAATGGCATAGTAGAGTTTCTCTTCTCTCTCCTATTAACCTTCCCTTCTTCCATAGGCAATATGTCATCTTGCTTTGTTTTGTTTCTGTTTTTATTTGTTTTGATGAGGGAGGAGTCAGCGCAGTGATTGATAATGACTTTCTTATCTGACATCCTCCACCCTGTTCCAGAGGTTCAAACTAGCCAGCTGCTCTCTCTGTTGTCTTAAATCATTTACATTTCTAATTAAATGCAGAGTAACTTGGTTTTAGCCTTGAAAGTTGCTGCTTCTGCTTTATATCCAAAGAAGGACTTGTGTGCTGGAAATCTTATCTACTTCTTTCAAATACAGAAGTTGTTCTAATAAAAGATTGCCCCTTATCCACCAACCTTGTCATGCTGAATGTTTACAGTGGTAACAGGATGTAGAGCACTGAGATGGGAGCCAGAAGGAAGATTCCAAGAAGGGAAAAGGTGAATTACGGCTATAATGGGATGGGATCCTGTGGTGGCCATGCTTTTACTCACACTTTGCTTGACTGGCTGGTCAGAGTTAGTACTGATAAAGTCACTATCATAGTCTCCACGGGATAATAAAGTGTCCGAAATAGAATAAATAAATAAATAAATAAAAAGTTCAGTCTAGGATTTCAGTCCTCACAAGTTCCAAGTTTATAGATATAACCCAGCAGAAAAATGTATATTTTTTAATGCTGATATCAGAATTCCTTCTTTAAAATAAGTGACTTGAGTCTGAAGTTTCAGTGAGAAAATCAAAATGTTCCTTTGTAAATAGTTATTTGACATGTTTAAAAAAATTCTGTTTTCTTTTCCCTTTGTTAAGAAAATGTCCCCATAGGTATAAGATAAACTTTTGAAGGTGAAGTTTATTTATGAACAGATACAAAACAATCACAGCAGGCAAAGATCCTTTAAGCTAAAAGAGACAATTCTTAATTTTTCACCCAATATGTATGTGATAAAAACTGTATAGTTTCCATTTAAAAGGCTGAACATCTGTCGTAGCCAATGACTTTATTTTGGGTATGCAGCAAGAATGAGAATCAGGCTTACATTTGCTGCATAAAATGGGAGACTAAGTGACCATAAACCATTCTACCTAATAATTGCAAAAATAGAACAAAAAAAGGCTTAAGAAAAGTTAATTCTTACAAATTAAGCCATAAACTCAACTATGTGAAGATGATTATTTTTAGATTTTGTAGATTTAAAATCCATGCATGATACTACAGCATCCTCACAAGGGAAAGAAATAGAATGATAGGTACCTGAAAGTTTAGTAATATAGTCAGCAAATTTTTGTCTATAAAATATACAAACTTTCCGTTCCATTTTCAACAGCATCAGGAAGGCCATAGTCAAACGGGCAGTAGGGCCACAGGAATGTTACCCCGTAAATTAAAAACTTCAATTAACTGTGTACTTGAAGGGAAAACTTTCAGATGATAGAAGCAGCAGAGAAAGATTTCCTCCTATCTTAAATGTTAATGACAAAATTGGTATGGGCGAAGAAATAACAAATTGTTTCCGAAACAGCCATGCTGAAGAATGAATCGTTTCTGTGATGGTTCTTACATTGAACATCCTCCTCTGCTCAGCACTTTGCATTAAGTAGGAACTCCATGAACTCCAAACACAGGAGAACAAGGTATTTAAGCTGTTATTTCCTGCCAGAAAAGAAATTCATTGTTCAAGTTTAAAGCTCCCTATTACATCTTTCCAGAAGCTGTGATGTCTTCTTACATGTCCTGGTACAGGTAAAATTAAAACACCGGAGGTTAGAAGAATGCCTAGCTCTGTGTTTATTTTCAGCATTTGATTCACCATACCCGGAGGCTATGCAGCCAGCTCAAAAGACAAGAGCAGGCAGTTGCTGCCTATTCCCCTGGCTTCTCCTCTCAGCTTCCCTCTCAAATCACTACTGGCCTTGTATCTTGCCTACAAGCAGTTCTAAAGTCTTGTTACTTGACTAGGGTTCAAATATACCAACAAACGCCAATGTTTTTGCCATTAGGACCTCCTACAGACAAGCTTCCCACAGCCTAGCTCAGGGTCTTGCACCTCCTTTTCCTCTCCGTCATAACCTTGGTCCCAGTGCTTCTTTTTCTTCTATTTCCCAGTATCACAGAATCGCAGAATATTCAGGGTTGGAAGGGACCTCTAGTGATCATCTAGTCCAACCTTCCTGCTCAGGTAGGGACACCTAGAGCGTGTATCACCCAACTTGACATCCACTCTGACAAAGTGTTGGCTCCCGACATACGAGTTTGGCAGAGGGCAGCAAGTGCTGTGACCACGTCCCCGTGAGGCACATGCTGACTACCAGGGCAGGAGGGCAGGCTGCTCAGCGGGCAGAGAGAATGGCACAGGGCAAACTCCAGCTCCCACGCTGATGTCCAGCCTTCAGGGGTAGTTCCCATCCCATTTTTCCGCTGTTCAGGAATGTGTCAACGGAATATTTTGAGATTTCTCTCCCTCTTTCAAATTTAACATCCAGCAGTCAGGAAGTGAACTTGCATAGCAATCTGGAGACTTTGGAATATGTGCTAGGCAAAGCAAAACTAATCCAATTTTTTAAAATCAAAATAGCTCTTTGTGATGCCCCAAATTCAAAAAAAACCTACATAAATGTCATTTTAACTCTTGTAAACTATCTGAATTGAAATATATATATGAAATATTAATTTTCACCTGTTTAAAATTATAGAATATGAAAATCAGGCAGAATTGTATGTTATTATATGTTATTGCATGTTAATGTCTGTATGAGTCACATTTTCAAATGAAGTCTGCAAAAGCCTCACTCAGACTCAAAACCCCATTGTTTAAGCGTTGCACGACCCCAAAATGGTTCCTGTCCTGAAAAATTCAAAGGCAAGAAGACTGATGATATAAAATGGTGAGAACACGTAAGCCTGTGAATGTCTCCTTCATTTCCCGAATGAAATATTCAGCTTCATAGGTCAGTAAATCATTGCTGTGTTTTAATCCTTCAAAGGAAGGTGAGTGTGAAAGCTGCTGCAGTGCCGGCTGTTTGCTGGGGTCGCGCTGTTGCAGCAGGAATAGAGCAGCTGGTCCCTCCATAGCCAGGGCATCAATTAGGGAAAAGCTGTGACTCACAGGCTTAGAGGAAGCAAAAGACAAGATACATTTGCTCAGTACAGACTCTTTCATAATTCACTCTATTCATTTCCACCATCGCCCTTGACAGTGTGGAAGTGAATAGCAGGCTCTGCACTGCAGAGCAGACACAGAGCTCTGCCATCCATCCCCTCCATCCAAAAAGTGAAGAGGCACAGGCAGGGGTAACCTCTTAGATCAACTGCAGCTCGTGAATGTGAAACCAGAAAGGTAGCATGATATAAAAAGCCTGGGCACTGGATAGCACTTGAAAATCCTGACATCTCTCTTCTGGATCTGATGGGTCACTCTGAGAGGATTTCTTTCTTCCTCCTTTTGTTTATCTCATCTTTCAAGCTATAAATCCCTCCATGCACTTACCATCTGTCATCGGGTGTCTGCACAGAGCCTAATGCAGCCACTCTGAATATCCTCCTGTCCTGCTCAGCCATCACCACCCTGACATGCAGGTACCAGGCTAGTTGGGCAGCTGCTGTGCATCTCCGTAGCCTTTATTTCTTCTCCAATGACTGCAGATATTCATGACCTGCAGCAAAGGATTCATATATGAAAGGAATTTTAAAGGTGGAAAACCACACACAAACGAAACACGCTAAAATCAAATTCTACAAACTTGTTTCAGATCTGCAAACATCTTACTCATACAAACAATAGGAATATTAGCAAAAAGAGCTTCTTTCCTCAGGTGGCTGCCTTCTACTGTGCAGAATCTTTTTCTAATATCTAGGGTAAGATTGCAGGGAAATAGGAAATTGGAAGTCACTCTGGTGCACACTGATGAGAAAACAGGCTTTTGAATTTCAAATGAAGCCTGTAGGACTACAGCAGCATCACATAAGCACTTCCCATATTAGAGGGCTTTTCCAGGGAAGAAATTAACATCCCACCTCCTGCTTTGCCACCACTGGAGAGCTTGTATGTTAACAGCCATTGACATCTGCTTGCCTACTCCATTTCCCCCTTGCACACTTAGTTCTTAAACATGAGTGCTGTTTTCTTAACTGCAGCCCTTTTTTGAGAGATAATGGCAATGCTTCAGCAAGACAATTGCAAAGCAGCCTCTTGAGAAGCTTAGGGTCATCTCCCCTTGTCAAAAAGTATGTCAGGATCTGTGTCTACAGTTTGACCAAGAAGTTGTTTAAAAACTTTCCCACGGTGATATATTGCTCTGTTACTGTTAATTAGGGGACATCAGAAGGGTGATAACGTGGAACTTTAAAATACACTTTTAGTCAGTTGAAAAATTCTAGGTACAAATTACATTCTTAGATTCATAAGAAGAGTTCTTAAAATATTGTCTCTAAAATTTATTTCAGAAACAAAAAGGATTTAGTTCTCAAATCTTAGTCCCTAGCAGAGATTTATGGGGATATTTGACCACAAGACAGTTATTATTTTGAGAGTAAGATTGATATTTCACAGTGTTTACACTTGTACTAGTAGGATCTTCCTTTGTCCTTTTTCCCTCCTTGCCTTGTACACCCCTTCTTCCTTTGGAATATATCACCAATCACTGTTGCCAAGGATTTTCCTACTACCTTCTCTAACCTCTGCTATGTGTGTAAACTCACACAGGATCAGATTAAGCACCAGAGTATGTTTTAGTAAATAGAATTTATTCTAAACCTGCAGTCAAATGTTATAAACTAATTCCCCTTTCCCTTTAGGCAGCATTTGAGAGAGCAGCCTCTCCGTGAGACTTTGAGCTCATGCAGTGTCCAAGGGATAAGCTGTCAAAACAGTGCATTGAAGGTGGTACATCCCCTAATCCTCACGCTCATTCACACCACAGCAGGGATCTTTTCTACACACTGCTCAAACAACATTACTGAGGGGTTTAGTCTTTTTTTTTTTTTTTCCCTTTCAAAAAGTAGAAGTTACCTATTTTAACCTATTACCTAACAACAATTTGGGATTCTACTTTCTAACCAGAATATGGTATGGTACATTCCCATAAAGGTGAATTGTGTGAATAAAATGTGAATAAAAGGCTTAAGCCTTATGTGATATTCTTTATCACCCTTGACACAGCAAGCAGCTTCCACTGAACTCTTGCATCTCAAAGATCAAAAGGGTTTGTATGGCCCATGTTTAACAGCAAGGATTTGGCTTAATTCCCTTGTTTTCATTACAAAGCTTTATATTTGTCTTTTACGTGCTATCATAATTAGGACAAAATGGTCAAACAAATGGACCCAGATCACTGAATAACATTTTTTGTGAGGTAGAGTAGCTGCATTTTGCTCTCATTTTATTTCTCTGAGTTTCCTAGAAAACAGAATGAGAAGTTAGTATTTGCTTGACAAAATCCCAAAAAGAGAGCAGAATCAGTTATACTGTTTATATTTAACTCTTGAAGGAAAATGGCAAATTCAAGCAATCAGTTATTATCATATATAGACCAAAGTACATCAGTATTATCCCCACTGGAGCCTTTTGCTAAATACGTACTGCAGTTATATTTATAATAGCATATTAAATGTTCCCAGGCATTATAACTCAATCTGTCCCATTCAAACCTGACACTCTGGTCCAGGTCAACTGGCATTTTCCTGGACTATTTTTGGGCATGGTTTGGCAGGTAGCCCTCCCAAGTGCAGATTGCTTGTGGTCCCTATGCTCTGGGGGGTAGGAAGGAGAGTTTAACAACTTGTGTGTGGTCTGTCTCATGCAAGCCAGTCTCAGTACCAGGGCATACCTGGTTTACTGGAGTAAGTGAAGCCTGGGGGTGCGAGCCTCTGCTCATTGGCTTTATACATGCAGATGCCCTGGAAGTTGTATGATGAGAACCTGGTGGTTGGACCTACCTAAATATTCTGTGACTTTCCATCTTATCCCCAGCATCAGTGGGTATAAAAGAGCTTCACAACATCGCTCTGTGCTGTATCAAATCCCCTCCTTCGGATCCTAAACTTGAACAGATCAGTTACCAGTTCACGAAAGACAACTCTCTTTTTAGTCTTTCTCACAACTTGGTTCACTGATAGAGTCGTAATCCAGAGTCAGGAAGCCATCAAAGGAAAGGATGATTCATGTCTTAAGTAAGGGAAGAAACAAATCCCAGGTTTTCAAAACCTTTCATCAAGGAAAAAGACACACATGAAACACCAGCCATTTCTGGGCAGCCCTAGAAGGAGTCTGTCTTTGGTGACAAACATTTCTTACCTGTGTGGGTTGCCTTACAGCACTGAGTACTGAACACACCAACAGTGGCTGTGCACAGGCAGACAAACAGCACCTCTCTCATGCAGAACTGGATTGCCTTGCCAAAATAACCATCCTTATGCTAGCTTTTACACTTGTACAGTTTCCAGCATCCACACATGTTTTTGACAAAATTAGGTTAGTCTGTATTCCGGCATGTCACTCTTCTTTTACAGTAATGAATGCTTTAGGTCTTCAAAAACACCTTTTAATTCTGAAACTTTTTTTTTTTTTTTTTCCCCCTCAAAGAAAGCTGATCTCATTGAGCTGCAGAGTTCCTGGGGGCATGTAATGACATACTGATGACTGCAAGGAAAAGATCTGAACCTGCAAAAGTGCCTGTACTTGTTTAATTTTAACTACATGAACTGCCCTGCTGAAGTCAATGAGACTACCACTGTGAGTAAATTTAGGTGTATCTGTCACTTCAGCAATAGGTACCAAGTCTAGAGTGTGAACATCATTTAGATGAGAGGAAAATATATTTTGTGCAATATAGCAAGGTACCTAGTGTGCCCAGTTACAAAAGAAACGCACTTCGTGTACCGAGTATTTTCAGCTGATCTTTAGACTTGGCAACATCACACAAAAGCCTCAAATGGGTAGCAACAAGTCAAGCCACAATAGGTAAAGAACCAGAATCAACCGTGATATTTCTTCCATGACTTATCTGGAAGTGACCAGCACCCAGAGAGATGAAATTGGGGAACATTCTCCACACGCAGATGAGCTCACAGAATATAATTGTTTCTGTAAACTTTAAAAGAGGTTTGTTCAATCCACTGCATGCAGGCTAATAATGGGAAGTCTGAGGTGTAAGCACTTTCAAAAGTCCTAAAATTGTGGGAGCTTTTTCTTCCTGTGTATTAGTATCACACTCAGAAATGGAGAATAATATAGCACCTTTTTAAAATGCTACAGATGACTAGTGCAATACAATGGCCTAAATACATTGGCTTCTCACCCTTGCATCATTGTATATGAGCATAGTCTGGTACTCTGTGTAAGGTTTGAGAAATACTAGAGTAAGCTACAGATGGGTACTTTTATTATCATCAGCCTCTGCCTGGATCCACTATATATCACATAAATATGTATTTTGAGTCATTCGTTCTAGCTCTCCATCTAAATGTTGTAGAAAGCTTTTAATGCAGCCAAGGCAAAATGACAGCATTTCTGCTAGATACTGCTATTGCTCCACTTACCATCTACAAAATGATTTACCATTTTATGTAATCATTAAAGTTTTATGGTTCTGCTGTCATTATAAAAGAGACATGCTGATATTTTCTATTGTGCATTATATCCAACAAAACAAAATAAACAGCAGTTAGACAGCCTTTTTTTTTTTTTTTTAATGTCTTTTCCTGTATTGATCCTTTTCTATAAATGAATTTTGAACTTCCACAGCAAAACCTCAGTACTTTGTCCCATCCTTGGAAATAGTGTTGGGCTAATTCTATAGACTCAGAACTGTTAGTAATATACATGAGTCTACCAAATTACTACTGCAAATGAGGTGAACTATTGTGCTATCATTTTTTGCTGCAGTTATTTAATGCTCTACTAATAGTTATTCCATTAAAGCCCAAGGCTACAAGTTCACACCATAAGTGCCAAATTATTGTGGTATTCCATATTAACGTCAAAGCCCTGACATCCAATATGCCAGGGAGTGAATACTTTCTCCAGTCTTTATGTACTTTCTTTGAGACTGTTTTTTTTGCTTCATTATTTCATCTGTTTCTCATCTGTAGTTACAATGGAATTTTATCCTCTTCTTTTTCCTTTTTTTTTTCTTATCTGTTAAAAAAAGTTGTTCAAAAGAATTTCTGAAAGTTTCATTAAAATATATCTTTAAAAATATCTCAAGGTAGTCTAGAGAAAGCTGCATGGTCAGCAAGGGATGCACCAATTAAAGAGAAGCCCAGTGCTGGGAATCTATAACTTAGTGAAAACAAGTTTGCTTATACCAGAGGGAGACATCACAGCATACCTGCCAGGTTCCTGTATGTGCTCCCTAGTCATCTATTACTGGCAGCAGGATACTGGGCTACTAGGATCTTTGGTTTAAACAAATACTGTTCTTCATATGTTTTTATTACATTCATTTTCAGCTCCCTCTTCTCCTACAAACTATCCCTCTGTGTTCATTAAAATAAGCCTTCTACTTTCACACAACCTACCACTTGTGTGTAACTTACACTATCATTATACCATTATAAATGCCATTTATGAATTTGGCTGAGAAAAGAGCCTTTTTTCATCTTAATTATGGGCTATAATATAGAGACAATTCTCATATCTGACACCATGATACAATTTGCATGTGTCTGCACTCTGTTTAAAGATTCATATTGCTTTTGTGTATGAAAAAAAGAATTACTGGATTCTTCTGGTCATAAGCTGTAGTTAGGCTTCAGCTAAAGAAAGGTGAGGAGTTAACTATCAAAAGAATGTCACTAATAACCTTGACCAAACAAACCATGGTTAGCAAACTGACAGCTCCAAGCATTTTTCTTTGTTTTGTTGTAGTATATGCTCACTCAAAATGTCTTTAAAGATGTTAATTATGTGTGCCTTTTACCGCCTAAAGATCTTCTGTTTGTCACAGGATTTTCTCAGCTATGAGATCTAAATTCAAAGAGTTATGGAGAGTTGAAAATGGAATGGCATGTGAAAAAAGAGCACCATGCTGACAGTGCTTTAAGACCATTAACACATCATTAGGAACTCAGCTATACAAATAGCCAGCCTTAAGGGATCAGCTGTCTTGTTTAAGAAGAGGATTTATCAGGAATACCAATACACTTAGGGAGACATAGTGAAAATGATAACATAAATATTGGTTCAAAGCAGCAAGCTATAATACATATTTCATAATATATCACATATTGTAGTCTGTATGCTGCAGATTTCTGCCACAGTTTGAGTTGTATGAGGAACCCCGGATCACACTAGTCTGGAAAAAATAGTCTATTCTTGAGCTTAAGGCAAAATGTAAAATAATCATTGATTGCACAAGCACTAAGTGAATGCAAGCGGCTATAATGTGTCCTGTATTAAAAAGCAGAACCCTGTTAAATATATGAGCGTATCTAAAAGGATAAAATATTGATGTAACAAGAGTATTTTGCATGTTTCAATAATTACTGCTTTGTAGTGAAAACGACAACATTTTGCCTTTGTTCTGTTTCACTTATTATGAAATGTTATTAGCATTTCATATTATAAATACACCAAGTCTCTCAGCTAGGTTTCTGATAAGAAAAGAAAATTAGAGAAATTTGGCCTGAATCATATTGCACACTAAAATCTCAAAACCTTTTTATTGCTATTGGTAACTAATATCCATATCTGACAAGTAAAGAAATGGACCCTTAAAAATCTAATTTCCCCATGTTTTGAAAGTATACATTAACTTTTTGTGGGATATGAAAACTGCGAAGGCATCTCAACCCTTCAAAGATGATAGATATATGGGCATAAAACCAGTAATGGAGATAAAAGCAGTCGCTTTTGGATTCTCAGCCTTTTTAGGTCTTTTTGTTTTTTTATAATTTAAAGTATATGGGTTTGGAAATCAATAACAGGAAGATGCTGCAGTCCTGAGCATTCACACAGTTATGGTATTAGTAAGATGATTACATTGACATAATTTGACTCCGAGAATGTATGGATAGGAACACTATATTGATATAACGACCATATGATAAAAACACATGCAAAAAAAAACTTCTTTTCATTCAGTGGCTGCAAGGCAGGTGGCACAAGGGGCATCATAGCCCTAGGGAGGCATCATAGCCCTAGTTAGAAGCCCTAGTTATGAGGTAGGGTATGCAGCCAGGCTAGACCCCCTCTTGAACCTGTTTCATAGTGTATCTGAATAAGCAGATGCAAAAAAGGCTTTTCAGCAAACAGTGATAAAGAAATGGAAATCATTTAGAGAATCCATCTTCATTCATTCTCTTAACCAGCTCTTTAGAGATGGTTAAGCCTTGATGGTGAAGACATAACAGAGAGAAGAAAGAGATACTCGTTGTCAGAGACACATATCTAAAATATATATATATAACTAGAATACTGAAATCTCAAAGATGGCCACAAACTAAGAAGCATGAACACAAAGTGCTCTATTATAGCTGCCATCAGACCCTCACTACAGAAATAAGAGAAATGAACAAATATCTCAAGCTTTTCTCATGTCCATATTACCACTGATTATGGATGAGTTTGTTATTAAGTAAAGCTATGCAGGAGCAGCCTTCTTGCCACTTTTTTTGGCACAACTACCTTACAAAGAATATAAAACAGAAACTTGCTTTGTAACATGTTGCTTCAATGCTCATTTGCCTTTTTTTTTTTTCCTTTCCAATGAACCATGGCTTCCTGCTATTCTAGGAAACGATTGTGAAGCTTATAAATTCCCCCTCACTGTTTTTAATCTGAGTAGTTCTAAGTCATATTGATTGATAACACAGCAGAGTGACAGGCTGAGAATAAGGTAATGACCCACCTTACACACAGGAACTGAGTCAAGTCATGTCTTTTACTATCCTCTAGAAGCACAAAGCCTGGATATCTTCATTAAGGTCTGTCTTTATGAGGAGGTTGTACCAATTGACAAATACGTGATGAGCGTCAGGTGGACAATCTGTCTGCAAAGTTCTGTCCTATTTAGCTTGATGCATTTGGAGAATGAAGTAAGCTAATAGGTGCAGAACTCGCTGGACATTTACACAGCCTGGCATCCCAGCTCCGACAGAGTACTGCAATAATGTGGTTACATGACTTCAAGAGTAGAGCTAGTCCATATCTGGCCAAACCAAGCACAGAGCAAGAGTTAAAAAGCTATTCACTATATCCATCAGTGCACAGATGCCCAGGAAAGGGAATAAAATTGTCCAACTGGAGAAATACTTATGCTGTCATTTAGACTGTAAATTCCTTAGTTTTTCACACAACAGCTTTTACGTGCAAGCATAACCTCAGAGGGAGTGAAAAACTAGAGACTTCCAAGCTAGTAAGCCTTGCCTGAAAATGAGAAGCACAGAAAGAGGCAGGCAGCAGATTCAAAAGTCCTCAGATAGACATTATTATTGCAATACCTACATAGTCTGCTGGCTGCAAGAATGTGTAAGAACTACCATGTATTTTGTTTTAAATTCAGGATAATCAAGGGCAGAAAGTAACACCAATAAACAGAGTTTGGTTGATACAAGGAGTTGCTGAATCTTGTTCAGTTGCCTGGTAGTTTTTAGAAATTTGTGTTGAGAGAGCTCTAGTCGTGCTTGCACCACACCCTTCCTGAACCTGGCAGCAGTACCAGTCAGGCATACATTACAAAAGTGCCAAAAGTCCTGACCAAAGGGCACAGCATACTTACATTACAGGAACGCTAGTATGGGGAGCATACTGTGACTCAGAGACTTCCTAGCATAACTCTAGGGCAACACCCAATATTATCCTCCACGGATTTCTGTGTGCAAGCAAACATTTGCATACAAGCCAGTCACCTGGGTAGCCCTGAAGGAGTAAAAGAGGGATACCAAAGACATAATTAGTCTCATAATAAAATAGATATCACTAGCAGGCAACTGGGGAGTACAGGGGAGTGGCATAGAAGTAGTTCAGATGTCCATAGCTATGCTGGGACTCAGATTCCAAAGAATAGGCACCTGGTTCTGTCTGAGACACAGCAGGATGTATGATGTGGCCTCATGGGGCAGCAGATGTGACACATATCCTATGAGGCACCAGTGCTCTTCCAGAACAGCAGCTGGAGACCATGAAGGATAACCCTTGATGGGAGGGATGAGCTCTGCATCTCAAATCGTGGAAGATGCCTACATCTAAGCAACTGAGATAGGTTCTAGGGTGACCTACATCACTCCCTAGTGAATGTATTGACTTTATTTCCATTGACAATAGCAGCAGTTTAGACTCCTAGCACCAAGGTGCCAACACGTAGACAGATTTTTTTTCATGCTAACTCCTGCCCTTATAGTTAGGTGAGATGAATCCAGTGATGGAGTCACTGCATATGGATAAATAACAGATTATTTAAAATAAATTAATCACAGGGTTTCAGACTCTCCAGTTCTGAAAGCTTATCAGAACACAATGGAGATGTTGACAATGACTAAGTAATGCTTTTTTTTCCCCTTCACCTTACATTCCAAGTTTTGAAGCTTTAAGATCAAACACACATCCCCCATTTGGAAAGAGCTAGTTTACAAATCTGGCTTGACAACATAATATGCTTTAAGTGAGCTTCC